TGAATTACAGAGAATTGATATTAAAACATCGTTTTTATTAAGGAACAGTGAATGATAAAATACTTTTTTTCTTTACAATACAAGACACAAAATACAAAATGCAAAAAATTATAAACAAATATAAAGAGGATGAAATGTGTCTTTTCTGACTAAATAATTATAAATCATTGCTATTAAACTTTGTGTGTACTGTTTCTAATGCAAATGTATTATCAAACCCTGAAAATTATTTATACTTACCCGGTATTCTCATATACGGAATATTCGAATGGCGGGATGTTGAAAGTTCGTAATCAATTTAAAATTAGATAAACATGATCTAACCAAATAGCCAAACATAATACTGACTTCTAAAGGAGGAACAGGACCTTTAGCTGGAAAAATTCCTGTCAATGAATTTTTTTTTGTATTTTTTATATTACTTATTTAATATGTACTTAACATTTTTAAACGGTCCTGTCATGGGTTTTCTTGACTTATTTAAAAGATATCGCCCCACAAATAGCGCCCTGTTTAGAGTTTGTATGGAGTTTAGATACTTCATGTTTACGGGCCCATAACAGAGTCCATAATGCGAATTTTTACGCCTAAACGATAAATATGATAGATAACACCATTTACTCAAATATTTCAGAATATTCATAGTGTTTAAATTATCTGAAAGCAATTGTTTTTATTTTATATTGTATTTGGGTGGGATAATTTCTGCTTTTTTCAAGGCAGCTTCAACGACAAAAACCTCATTTGGAAAAAAAAAATCTGTCAATAAATATTTCTAAATTTACGATTGAATGTCAGTCCTTCATCGTAATTATTTACTGCATAAATATCACAGGGTGAAGCTTACCTCAATATCGCACAGGACATCGTTGAATTAGACGTAAGCATGATAAAAACGCTTCACGTCTGTATTTTCCGAGTGCGGGAAATCAATTGTGACGTCACACGAAAACATAAACATTCAAAATTATCTAAATAGAGAGAATCTCTGCTACCTTACACAAAAAAATATAAATTAAACAAATCTGCTTCAGAACTTTATCACGATACATTGACTGTGACCCGTTTATTATGAAATAAAATGATCATGACCGGTCTCGCTGCACTGGGAATTCAAACACTACGTCTATGACGTCACTGACGTCAGACTGCAGGGTAAAGAGAAATAAATGTGTGGATTGGGCAACTTCACAATATCTAAATGATAGCAAGATCTTTAAAACTTGTAGTGATAATAAATTCTAAAATTAAATGTTTAAAAAACAATTTTAGAATTTAGAATAAAGTTACTCAAGAACTCATTGATTTTAACAATGTTTAACATGCATATCATCACCAATTATGACGTAATATGTCTTTTTAGTCATGTGACATGTGCCCTGTCTCCCCTTAAATAAAGTTATATACGTATGGAATAAAATCGATTAATACAATAAAGCGATTGGGTGCAATACATTTACTCGTCTTGCATGGTCACGGCGGAATCAGACTTCTTTTTTTTTTATTATTATACCGTAGAAAAAGACTAATGCGAGCAAATTTTCAAAGTTAAGAATGTTAGAATTATTTCAATCTTTTCTACGCTCAAAGAAATTGTCTCCTAGAATTAATTCAGGTATGTTGACGGTAAACACGCGGGCCGAGCTGTCATTAAATTTTTCATATTCGACAAAAGAAATGTATTTAGATTGCCAACAGTCTTTCAGAAAACGGTAATTAGTATGTTCATAGCCTCTTCTTTAAATCAATATCAAATTAATTTAATATAGGTATCCGGTTTACTTTTCACTTGATTCCAAATTGAATGTCATGAAAATACCCTATTTTCTACATAATTCTACTAAAGCCGTAAAGTACGGGAAAAAGAAGGCTGAAATTGATTATGACGTCATAATGGATCAAGCACCATAAAATTAGTCTAAAGTCATTCACTAGATCTTAACCTTAAGACGTATAAAAGATTAGCGTTACGTGCTTTACAATCTGACATTTTGACATTGTTCCGAGATGCAGCTGTGTCTGTTTTAGGTGCTCCATTTTAATTAAACGAGACGAATAAGAATAAAGAATGTACTTGAATATTTCATTCACATTTACATGTACAAAGTTCATTTCAAACTTTTCACTATAAAAGTATCAAAGAAGACTCGACTAGTTCAATTTTCAAATACCCATGGTAGAATTATCTTATTTGTTAGTTGATTAACCGTCCTTTATATCATCACCTTTGAAAACGTCAGATAGTACTATTTAGAGACATGCACAATGACACATATCAAATATATCTCAGGTTTATTTTTGTGGTAGTTTGGTTAATTTATACACTTGTTATGATTAAATGAATATGGCCTTATGAAAACACCATGTGAACTTCTACAAGAGCACGGAGCTGTTTAAACGCTCATACTGTACAAAATACTACATGTTCCTGTAGAATTCGTACCGCCAGTTCATATTATACATCATACATATTTTTGCGTACTCACATTTCTGTTGCACAGACATGAGTGTAAAGCAATGCCCACGTGGGGAGGAAGAACGTCATAAACACTATTAAAAATCATAAAATGACAAGGTTACAAGGAACCAGGAAAAACCCATAAAGCAATAACATTTGCGTGACATATATTTCACAAGTCAGTGATATTTCTCAATTTTTCAACTATTTAAAATCAATAATGGTCAACAAATATTGCTAACACTCTACTGATCAGAAATAAAAAGAAACAATAAACAGCAAGGAATAAATGGTGAACTTACAACAAATCATTGTAAGCTTTATGTCATCCTAGCACTGAAAAGTTTCACGTTTATCAATGTTATTGATAGTAAACGGAAATGACATTACTGTCCTCCTATCTCTTTATAGGGAAACAGACTTCGTGACTTACAAATTGTAGTGCCTTTTCCTGAATTATAGGGCCACTTATAGGTATTATTTTCGCTCTTGACTGTTGGAACCATTTTTAAATTAAAGAAAGGATGCCAACATTTGACTGCTTATGTTCAAAAGTAAGGAAAAAGATGTTTTAATAATCATAATACACGTAAATACATACTAAAATGATACATTAAAGTGGTATAGAGTTTATGAGAATAACCTGGAAAAAAATAATGAAAAAAAATTAAACAAATGTACAGGAACGACAACCGGCAAGCGATGAATGACGAATAACAAGAACGCATAATAACCGACGAAACAGAAACAAGAGGACACATCATTGAATCAGAACAATTAATATATAGAATTGTCAAAGTTAAGAAATTCTGTATCCATTTATCAAAAAGATACCACTTACTAAATAATTTTCATATTCTATACTCAGTATTCTGATTATATTTCTACACAAGGTAAGTTTTTAAAGATGAATTAAACAATTCCATTTTTAATATAACCGAATAAGGAATTGAAAGGAAAAAAATACATTTAGTTTTTTTTTCTATCTAAGTTGTAACAACCGTAACTGTATCTAATTAAAGGTATGAATTAAAGTTAAATTTATTTCTCTGTCGGAAATAATATTTTTTAAAATTAAAGTTCAATTTTTTTTGAAAATCTTTGATCAAACCAGACATTTGAAAGTACATGTACTCATACCGTACCGGTATGATGTTAAAAAAGTATGAAGGAACATAAAATCCTATCTTAGGAATAGAACAAGAGATTTGAATATAGGTATTATTTACCAGTACAAGTTTTAATACAAAAAATGGTCAATCAGAATTGTAAAGTTAGCCTTTTAATATTGAGTAAGGAATGCATTAAAGTGGACTAACATGCACTTATGTCGGCGAAACCTATGGTTTTTTAAAATAAAAAAACATAGCAAAGGCCCTTATCCCTACAAAAATAGAATGTACCTCAAAATATAAACGCGCTAATTTTAGAGTATCCTAAACTTACGAAAAAGAAGTAGATTTGTCAATTTTTAAATTAATGTTTGCTTGCCCTCTCCCGACTCGGTGTAAAATTTTTGAGACGGTAAGTATGTGGTAAATTTTTTTTTTTCGGAAAAATGTCAAAAAATTGTTGATCGAATAAGAGAAATAAAAAGAAAAAAATACCGTGCCGAGAATGTAAAAAAAAGGTCAGGCCAATATATATAGTCAGTAGATCAGGAGAAGGCAACCAAATAATTATTTTAAGGTGGCCTTACAGTTTTACAAAAGTTAATGCCAGACTATTGAAAAGACTATAGAAAATATGGAGGGAGAGATTTTAATATTTTATGCAAAGAGTAGAAACCAGAATTTACTATTTTTCAACTTAAGAGTTGTTCTTCTTTAATTAAAGTCTCCAGCGTGGCGTAGTGGTTATAGAGCGTCTGCTCTAGAATCGCGAAGTAAGGATTTGGTCCTTACGTTGCGGGTTTCAATCCCACTATGGAACGTGGAGAACGGTCCTTTGGATCAGACCGTATAAGTCGAGGCCCCGTGTCGCAGTAGGTGCTGGCACGATAAAGATCCCTCCCTGCTCAATGGCAATGAGTGAAAAATTCTCTAGAGGGACGTTAAATAACGTACAATCAATAAGTCTTTCTTTAAGTATTTCAAATCAATATAGTGAACAAAAGAAATAAAGAGAACTAAGTTAAAGATAAAGAATAAAGATACACCCGTATTTTTATAACACTTAATTACTAACATCAATAGAGGTGGTCATGAAAATGTCCTATATCGTTTGTCCAATCTATTATAAATTTTGGATTAATCCATTGAAATTTAAGTTAATAATATTTTTTCAATTAGAAAACGTGTTGCGATTACATATTTTAATCTCATATTCTAGTAACACGTGTATATGGTAGCCTTCATTTCAATAAATAGCGACAGCGCTAGAACTTGTTATAGAAAGAGGACATCCGATGCATGGTGAAGTCATCGTAATACTGGAAATAAAACATTTTCATGCTGCTAAATATTTCATTAATCAGCATATGATCAATAAAGGAAAAATATGTATTTGTACTTGAATCCATACGTTTATTAACCTATAGTGTTCATTTTTCTAAAACTACATATTCCTTTTCTTTAAAGTCCTGATTGTTTTCCTTGATCTTGAATCCTTCACCCACTACTTCAGTGTATGTATTGGAATCATTAGAATTCAACTTCAAAGTGTCATAAGATTCTTGATGAGTTGATATTGGAACAACACTGGCGTGATCATAATAGTCCACTCTATCTGTTTCCTTTTTTACATTAAGGTGATTGTATAATTCATCTTCCATCATTACCTTTCTCTGTCCAGTATTTTCATATTCATGTTTGGGCAGAGAATTCTTTTGACTTTGCTAAAAAAAAAAAGATATGTGCTACAATTTCAACATTCATGTAAACCAGAAAACCAGTACTATAAACCGATCATAATGTTTTCGTAAATTGAGATTGTCATTTTATATTAGTTATGCATCGATATATTAATTAAAAAAACAAAAAAAAACAAAGGACATACGTTTTGTGTAATTTGTGTATACAAATGTCCCGTTGTTTTCTCGTCAAACTCTCTGTCAACAGACATTTTAAGTGAACTACAGTCATAAGCTGGATTACTTGTCAGCTTGACCTCCCCTATGTCTCTGAAAAAAAAAAATTGTTGTCTGAAGACATTAATTTAAAAAAAAAATATTTCTACGTTTTCTTTTGTCCGTTATACCTGAAAGGTATAAGTTTATGTTGATTTAAACTGCCGATTTGCAATTGTTGGATAAATTTTTATTTTTAAGAAAGGTATAATGTAAAATCTTTTTTCATAATTATGACTTATTATTTTCCTTCATCTGTACTTTTAAGATTTTTTCAAATGAAAATTTGTTCTACTTGAACATAATTGAAAAAAAAACAATAAAATTTAGCAGGAAATCAAGATTAATCAATGAAACTTATTTCGGAGAGCTTTGAATCATAATTATTTTATTACTTTTTTCCTTCCTTTTTTATTTGTGCTCTTCTGAATAAAGTTGTGATGAGAAATTCCAGAGCAGCTCCCAATACAATGCCACCGAGTAAAGCTCCAATTATTGCACCATATGCTGGTAATGTCAAATAAACCAAGTATTTATTGTATAAAGCAAATATTTTTAAAAATCAATAAATGCATTGGTATCTCTTCTTTTCAATTTTTAATTTTTACCTGTTTCGTTTTCCGAAGAGGCTTTCAAATATTCTGAAATTTGAATAGTGTGATTTAAAAGAATAGCTATAGATAAACTAAACACATTTCCATGATTTCAAAATTCCACAATAATTGAAATTTAAAATTTAAAAAAAAATCGTTATCTAGACCTTGTTTATAATTAGGTGAACATGTTGAATTTTTATTTTCTTGTGTTTGCTTTAATTCGGTTGTAGAATCTGTCGCCCTTGAAGTTGTAATGTCGGTACCCAGTGTTGTTGTGGTAACTTTCCTTGTGGCTAAAAATGATGATTTCAAGGTGAGTATTTTTTATCAAAGATAAAATTCGTATCCAGTCAAATAACATTAATTAATTTAAATACTAGTAGAATTTGAAATGTAAATTGATTGAGATTTATTTACATTGTAGATAAAATAATGTATATTATTGCCAACATTTACAGTTAACTTCAATGACGTCCTAGAATATACTTCAGATTATGGTAAAGCTACAATCTTCATAATTAAAAATACCTGCTTTGGTCGACGCAGTAAACATTGGACTAAGAACACAAGTGTTATCGTGCACTAAAACAAAGAAGATAGTCAAAAGTAATAGAAATCAGTACATGTATCTAGTTCTTTTTAAAAACTTCATTATATTCTGAGATTTTAGTAATGCATCTTACCTAGGTTATTTATAAGAATTTCACTGTTTACAGAACAGTTGATAATATAATCCTCACAGTAGCACCGTTTTGATAATTTTATCAGTTCCTCGCTGTTATTTATTAAAATGGATGAAGATAAATTTAAGGAGAAGGAAACTTGGACTCTCCTATATTTTCTCCAGTATGTGCAACTCTTTGTAGATCTGTGGCAAGTTATTTCCCCTTTGGAGCAGTAAGCAGCTTAAAAAAACAAACCATAAAAACGTAAAAGAATTAACAAATAAGACAAGTGATGATTGTTGATGTTTTGACTGTTTGGTGATATCATGGCATCTTAGCAAAGCTTAATTTATGTATTTGCCTGGACCTTTTTAACAGAATGTAAACTTTGAAAGCAAATTTGATTATATTATATAAGCTCATGTTGTTGGTTTCTTGCAATAATGAATTGTTTCAGCAAATTTAAAAATACTGTAACTTAACAAAAGTACATATTTTTTCAGTCTCCTTCTCCGTTAAGGCAATAAATTCAATAAATTACATACAATACTTCTCAGGCATAACACTGTATTTGGAAAGGGATCAAATTACATATGGCCGTCATGAGCCAGTCTGGTAAGTTTTATGTGATGTTGGTTCAGGTATGTCTTGTCCACATTTTAACTAACATACCTATATTCCAATCACAGCCGTTTGAAAAGGTTTTGTATGCCCGCACAACAGATCCAAAGCAGTCAAACCTGTAGTTAAAAAGAATTCAAATTATACATATTAAGTGCTGATAACATCATTGAAGTCAGGTTTCATGGTGGCGATTTGATATTGGGTCATTCCAATATTCCTCACAATTATTTTAAAAAGGAAAACATTTACCTAGTTGAATAAAGGAATAATTAGTGACAGAATTTTTCACAGATTATTACTTTTTTTGTCGGAAAAAATGGTTTTTCAAATTGTACAGTGTGTCCATAATATATGATACCATTTCATGATTACACAAAATATAAAATAAATGTAATGAATTTTGAATAATAACAAATGCACCACAAACATTGCATATACTGTCCAATTTTATTCACACAGTTTGAGGAACATTGAAGGGAACACGATAAAATGAGTTCACTTTGCAAAATGCTATCAATTTTCAATTATATGTCCCCTACATGACGTCAAATCTTGGTAATGATCATTTCAAGACATTGCACAAAATAAGTGCAGTTTTCTATGGTTATAATCTGGATTTTAAATGGAAATATACCTTTTTAAAAATTAGAGATTTAGGTTTTAGTAACAATATCTTAAGACTGAATTTGATAATTAGTTTTAAAATGAGGGTATACCCAGCTTATTTGTCAATAATTACCGGTAATCCATTTTGCTTGACATGCATTTTTAGCAATTTTTTGACGTAATTATGTGGCTACATTATTCCAACTATGTGACAATTTTTAACTAAAACTATTTGTTGCTAAAAATTGTATTTATTCAAATATTTAATGAGACAAAATAAAAAAAAATGGTCAAGACTTGCGTTTATGACAATAATTTAAAATGGTATCATATATTATGGGACACCCTGTATTTTTTTAATCCATCTGCTTTGTGGAATAATACTCAAGTTATTTTAATTTGTTCAATAATTGATGAGACTATTTTCATCTTCTCATGTAGACACATTGTATCTGTGGTGTGACTTGTACGAAAATTTAGGTTTTTACCCTCAGTGCAATTTTTAGGTATTTTTGTTTGTCACGAGATCATCAAAGTCATGTGCTTTAGCAAATATGCCTTGTTATAATACTAGTACCTTATTTTATAACATCCTGAATTGAATAACTTATCTACATAGTTAAAGAACAAAACAGTATGTTTAATATATATCAAACATATGAAGGTAGCTGGAAAATTAAGAAACTTTAAAGAACACATGATACCCCATAGAGCAGATTGTTATTTAAAAAATGGCTACATACATGGTTAGCGAAGCGTAAGCTATAAATAAGATAAGAACATAAGGAAAATACTCCCTAAATACATAGATCAGGTAAATATAAATTAGATTATCTGACAGAAAATGATATATAAATGACAGTTCTGAAAAATCTGTATACTTACGCATCGATGAAATCATCCTTAGATTGCGACTGTACATGGATAATGCAAGACAACTGGAGTAAAAGGAAATTTCTGAAATAAGGTAGACATCTTCGTATAAAAAACAAAAGAACACATAACTCTGAAGAATTCAATGAATGAGTAAAATACCATCTTTTCCATATTGCTCTCTTTACTTACCTGAAACTTATATACATGTACATCGTAACGTTAACATTCCGATAAATAAAACACTCTTCTGGTTTAATCCATTTAAATGTCCACCTTGATTGGTATTATTGCTACCTTTGTGACGTGTCGTGACCTTTAACACAGCTCTAGTGAAACTGATTTACAGACACTTTAACATTTAAATGTTTTTATTTTGTGATACTAAATACGCGGACTCTAATGTATCTTTAGGGCGTCTGTCGCCTATATGATATCAACATGTAGACATCAAATACGTAAAATCGTATACTAGGTGTTTTCAAAAAGACACAACACCGTGTCATCTGTATGATATCTTAAATTCGAACAAAGTTTGCAATTACGTGTATACTGAAATGGTAAGATCTGAATAATAAAATTTTCAATGATGTAGATATGCAAACAGCAGAGTCAAGCTTTAACTGCCTCATTTCATTTCTGTCGACGAAAATTCGATTATATTGAAATCAATAATAAAAAATGTATGAGATATACAGATTTTTAAAATTGCAAAGTTTCTTCAACTTATATTCGTATTTCAGTAACTGGGATAATTAGAAATATATGTTTTGCTATATTGGTGGAGTGCTGCAAAATATGATTACTATATTATTAAATATTATATAACTTTGTGAAATCCGGTAATCTGATTGGTCAATACGAAGTACTTATTTTTTAATAACGACCGCTGAAAGCGAATAATGACTCGCACGAGCTGCCTCGTTTTCACTTTCGCTTTAGACAAACATGGAAGTTCGCAAATTTGTAAGTTGTAGGTGAGGAAAATTTAAAAGATATAGTGAAGAACTCTGAGACTGATAATACAAAACAATTATAAGGATATCTGTGAATATTTTTCGGGAATAATTAGCACATACCATTTCATGGTTGAGTTCGACCTCTCCACTCGGCGAGCAGAGCTTTGAGGCTGTTTACGCGATTACGAAGACTAAAGAAAATAAAGACAAGCATGCCATGTAAGATCGTATCTTTTCTTAGAAGACATATGTATTTATATTTTGTCAGTGCATTTCCCCTGCAAGTGTAAACGAGAGTGATTTTCAATCTGGGGGAGGGGGTACTCCGTGTTATTTGGAGATAGATATCCTGCGTCATTATTATGATATAGTCAAAATTAATTGCCGAAACAATTTCCTCTGAGTAATATTCAATCAATTCTGAAACATTTATATTCAACTTTTTTATGGTTAATACTATCTCTATAAATAATCGGATGATATACATTGCACTAATAAATTTGGGAAATAAATATTCATATAATATAATAAATATGGACTCAATGCACGGTCAATATTCATTTATAATGACCCAGGATGGCAGATATTGACCTCAGATACATGAAGTATATCGACCTCGGGCTAGCGCCCTCGGTCGATATACTACATGTATCTTCGGTCAATATCTGTCATCCTGGGTCATTATAAATGCATATTGACCTACATTGAGTCCATATTTGTATAATATGACATGTTTCTGACATTGTTATGGGGGAATTATGGTTAAAAAATCTTCAAAATATATATTTTTAAGATTTACTAGGTTAACAACCTAGATGTAGGTACAGAATCACTACAGCAATTATACTTTTAAAGTAAAACTCTTTCCGTGTTTACAAGCCTAATATTAAACATTCTAAAATATTTTGTTTTAATTTTTCAGATTGCAAAATAAAAATAATTTTCTTCTATCTAATCATCATGAAAGTAGTAATAACCAGTTGTGTGGCAAAAAAGCATTCCCAAGAGATAAAATCCCCCTACCCCCCCCCCCCCCTTATAAAGGATATTCTTATGGATATATATTTTATAAAATAAGCTGGACGTATTGACTATATTTATTAAGTATTTTTTTTAATTGTTTACATTCGGCGAACTACTAATTAGAAATATAAACAAATAATAAACATAATTCTTGTATGTTATATATGATTATTTGCCAATATACTGTCTGTTTTTTCACAAATGACTTTCTGCTGCAATTGTACTTGTATCACTTTCTCCTGTCAGGACAAGATATGTATTGTCGTTATTGTCTTGGTGAACCACAGGATCCGTGTTGTGACTAACTTTTGGTATGATATGTGAGGTAGGCTGAAAATAAAATTTTTGTTCTTTTCAAAACTGTTAATGTTAATTGGAATATGCAAGAAGCAATAAAATTTCATTGAATTACATTTATGTGTCACTTTTTACCGACGTTTCAGCAACGGTGTTGTACACATGACCATGGCTGGACCTTGATGAAATCGGGTTACATTCAAAAGGAGAAACGCCAGAGGCAGATTCGTACATGGAGGTGTGTGTTTCAAGATTTTCAGTTAATCTACAAAATAGACATCATATCAAAACAAAATCTTTAATTTGCCAAAAATATTTTGAATGTCGTTTCTTTCTTCAAACCTTTTTTTCTATTAGACTTCATTTTCTACATATTTAACACCTTTTCGATACACACATAGCTATTTGTATTTACAGCATATCTATTTACCTTTTCGGGCGAACAAAGAAGAATGCTTAAAATTAAAAAATACTAGTATGTATTTTCAGAGAGAAAAAGAGTTATTCAAGATTTTAAACTTTTCACCTCTCTGCCTTTTCAATTTGTCTTGATCTTTTTCTCAAGGAAAAAACAAGGATGCTTACGACCATTGAAAATGTAGCACCACCAAAAGCTGCTCCAAGAATCATGTACACTGAATTATCTGATGACAAATAGAATATATAAAGAAGAAAAGATGAACATACACTATATATACAATTTATAATATCAGAAAAGTTATTACCTTTTATGCTATCAAACGTTAGCTTATCGTTTTAACGTAGGTCGCGGGTTTCCGGACGTCGTTAAAACTGGGTATGCAATTTATATGATTTGGGCGACTTTCTTGTGCACATCCTGATTATGACGTTAAATATTACATTTATATAAACAGCTATATGCCAACTTGATAATGCTATGAAGGCTGTAAATTAATAAATGACCTGGAAAAGTTGAATTATTCTTAATAAATCATTTGTTAGAAATTATCAAAAATTGGTTTTAAAAAATCTTACCTTCTTTTCTAGTGTTGGTATCTTCTGTGAATTCTGCTATTGCAGTCGTAATGTTTTCCAAAGTTCTATCTAGAATTATTGTATATTAATTAAACTGATTAAATAGTTGTAAAGATCTTCTTTCAACGGGGAAAAATATCTAAGTTTAATACTTTTAAATTTTGGGTTGTTCAATTCAAACTAAATGTTCACAAATTAATAAAAAAAAAAAAAAAAAAAAAAAAGGCCAAAAGGCCGACTTTTGAGTAGTTAGGTTCTTTAATTTGTTTAGGATGACGTAGCCTTTTTTGCAGGTCGTCCTTTGGAAGTATTTTGTTGATTCTGAAGTAGTTTGTTATCGAATTGTTAATTAAGAGCTGCAGTTCTTTCATTGTTGTAAGCATTTAAAAATGAATTTCAAAATAATATTAAAATCTTTGTTATATTTTATAATATGTTATAAAAAATACGTTTAAAATCAAGTGTTTAACTACACGTAGTGACAAAACACTATTTAAGTGAAATTTTACAGCTTAAAAAAAACTTTTTCACTTCCAGAACATTTTTGGATTGTATACATTCAAAATAATAATAAAATTAAATTCAACCAATATATTTTTAATAAATATATTCAAATAAACTACATGCATAAGATAATAACAGCTTCATGAGAACCTTTTCAAAGGAAACCTAGCTATACGAAAGGAGCTTTAATACTTAATTTTTGACTAAATACTTTGTAAATATTCTTAATCGAACTTATGTCAAAGTGTTCCCCCTAACTGTCAATGAGCATGTTTTCTTGCTTTGCAATGTAATATGTTTATCATTAGTTATATCAAGGAACAAAAATGTCTATATCATGTTCCTTGACTAAGCTTAGTTTAAATATGACACACCTTTTCTGTTTTTGAATAAATAAATAAATCGATTGAATCGTTTGTAGTCAAAATTACGATACGGACTTTTATTTTGGAACTAAATATTTTATATTATTTTTTTTATGAGATTTCCCTCACTTTTTAACACTCGTGCTTTAACATTTAACGATTAAAAATTCATTAAATATTATTAAGTATTGAAATTGTGTCATTAAAAATGTAAACCAGTATAAACAGTTTACCTGTGGTTAAATTGCAGCTGAAAGAAATGATTTTGCATCCACACGAATCAGCACCTATGACTTCTAGCTCTTCTATGAGGTGTAATGATGATACGTAAACGTTAAAGAAGACGGAAACATTAACTTGCCGATGTTGATAGAAAGAACATTCCCAATTTTCTTTTTTGCAGATTAAGTGCTCCGCCGAACAAGTTGTTACTAAAATATATATCAAAAAGCATTTAAAAATTGTTAATGCCATTCGTTTGTGTTAAACAAATAATATTATATACATTTATGTTAGACAATTTTTAGTATACAGGTACTTACATATATTCCATGGACAGTTTGATAACGCTCGATATCCACTTAAAATTTTTGCCAAGCAAATAATTCTGTTTACAATAAAGAAAAGATTTATGCTAAAAACTGTAATTACAAACCTTAATATACAATGTACCAGCTTATTGTTTTAATGGTCATCTATAGGAAACGTTCATTAGCTATCAGCCAAATGTTTACCAAATTCCAACTAATGATATGTGTAAAAAAAAATTTTAAATTATTGAAATAAATTTAAACTTAAGTTATATTTCACTCATAAAATATTTTTTGTTGCCTCATTACAGATTATCGAATTATATCAATGTGACGCTAATTTGTGCGAAAATATATGTGTGTTTAAAAGTGCGCGGAGGCTGAGCTGTATGGGAATAATTGCTTGTTTAAGAATTAATTAATACCGGTATTTAAAAATGTTAAATATGTTTGTAAAACAGATCATTGCAATGCTTGCTGTTGAAAAGCTTGTAGGCATTATTTGTTATTTTTTTAAAATAATTTTACAATACATATGCGTCAAAACAATTTTAATGATCTTTGAAAATGTATCGTTAGGTACAATTTCTTACTGTTTTTTCAGAAACTTTCAATTACGTTATTTTAGGTGAGCATTATTGAAATAATTAAACCAATTAAAGTAAATAAAAAGTGTCATTTTTGCTTTTTTTTTTAATTCAAAAGAAGGAAGCAAATCTGTTGTTCATCAGTCTTAAACTAATAGCGAGCGCATGAAATAAATATAATGACTAACGTGTATAACATAGGAAATTCGGATTGAAATCTGTATTCATGCCAAATTTCTTTTTTCCCAGAATTCCTGGCAAATGTCCTTTGCGCGAACACACAAAAATAGTAAAAAAATTAAAGGAACATTGTTTCTTATGCGAAATCTTAACGAAATGATTTTGCCTTACCTTATTCAAAAAAATACCCCCATTCCACAACACCGGCCTTCACCCTGCCCTTCGGAAATGATACAAATGACGTCACCGGTAACTTAAATTTTGACGAAGTTATGTCGGTTGCTTCCGTGAAACTCAAAACATGTTGCGGTGCATAGCAACATGGTGGCTAAAACATTAATTTACTTGAAAAGAACGATTTAATGCAATCTCTTTTCCCTAAAACTAGCGTTTGCGTCCTAAGTCAACAGAACTTTTTATCTGACGTCATACTTTCGTCACTTCAACGGTTCGGATATTTCATTTTGTCAGAAACTTCCGAAATGTTTGGAAATACATATTTGAAATTTAAATTTTATTGTTTTGTTATATTCTTGTTGCTTTCTTTTTCTTGAATGATAGACAGTACATATGTAGGTTTATGATAGTAAATAAACTGTGCTCGCCCCAACGGTCACACCGTAAAACATATTAATAAATCTAGTTCTTCAACAAAAAATACAATGAGAAAATGGTATATGCATTAATAATAATTGTAATTATACATACGCATTCGTGATGTTTTTGTCAGCCCATTGCAAATTCAAAGCAGAAAACACAAAAAGGAGAAAAACAAAAGTCTTGTATGCCATGTATAATACTTTCCCTGGTATCTGCAATGTAGTGCTTCATACACCAAATCTAAATCTTAATTAAGGTTGTATTACATGGGAACGAATTTTATTGATTCGGAGTTCCTTATCTCAGTAAACAGGTGTTTGCTATTTTCATAAGGAAATGTCTTTTTGGGACGTTTCAAACTTGTTACGGTGTGTCATACATGTTTTGATTCATAGACCTTCGGAAACGTTTGAAAATACAAATTTAATTTAAATAAATAATAGATACAACAATTATAGGACATCTTATCTGATAAATATCACTCCAAGACGCTAAATAAAAAGATTAATACGAAGATTATAATAAAATAAATGCACAAGATAGTAATTAAAGTGTTGATTGTATGTTGTTTAATGCCCCTCTTGACATTAATGTTCTGACACGAATAAGAAAATTAAAAAAGAAAACAACGTTAAACACTTAAAAGAAAAGAAATAGTATTGCACTTTTGGACTCAGACTATTATTTCGAAAAAAAGATTAAGAATAAAATCAGAAGGATATTAACTTTGTCTTAAGCATCGTGTGTTGACAACAGAATGATGACAATATACAAGCTATATACAAAAAGAATGAATCTGTACTTTAATCTCAAAATTTATACATCTGAGGAAAAATATCAGCAATATCGTTATAAAAATTTCTTCATGTTGTCGTCCATTTGATGACTTTTTATCACCTACATGTATGTATAAAACTCTTATGTCCTTGACCTCATAATAATCTAAGCTGAGCTCACCAAATGTTATCCCCGCCTCCCATATGAGAATAATGTCCATGTTTTACACTGGAAGACCCGAAATAAATGTAAGGTCAAAAAGTAAAATAAGAGGTACACAATGGCATTATGTAATAAAGAATCTGTGAAAGTATTCTTAATTTTTTTTCCAGTGGTAAACGAGGAGTTGAGGTTATATGTAAGAGATGGGTACCTTTAAATATTATTAAAGGAATGACAGTGTCAATGTTTTTTTCTATCGAGAACCAAAAACTATGAGCAAGATCAAAAAATATAGAAGGAGCTCGAGGTGCACAACGCCACTATTTAACAAAAATCTGTGATGTACATACGGACAGATGGACCCCATCACTATATACCCCTGCTTTGAAGCGGGGGATATACTGATTACAATGTTTTTATTGAAATAAAATGTTAAGAAAAAGAACAATGTTAAAATTAATTTGAACAATATCAAAATTGTAAGCAAATCCAACACCGGCTTCTATGAAGAGAAATGTACATGTAGTTAAGTGCCCTTGAGGAGTAAGCAATACTGTCGATCGGTCACATCCGCCATGAGTTTTGTCATCAATGGATGAATAAACAAATTCAAGACCTTTCAATGTGAAAATTTGTATTGACTCACAATTCAATTTGTAAGAAAAATATCATTTTATGTTTAATGCTGACCAAATTAGCCATTTTCATCATGAAGTGATATTTTTTTGCAAAAATGCTAAATTTATTTGAATATCTGACCCTGTGCTTTCTTTTTTACCACAATTAATACAAATACAAGTAATTGGAGGGCAAATACTTTACATGCATAACTTGCCATATTACAAAATGTTATGCATGTAAATTCAACTTTATTGCTGAAATCCATCACCTATCACTTCTGTGTACTCATTGTCAGATTTAGAGCATTTCAGTACATCGTAATCTGATGATGATGGTGGCTTAGTCACAGTAACTGGCGTTGCAAGATCATAGTTGTCATTATCATTTCTACGTTTTGATTCATTCAGGTGATCATATATTTCAACATCACTTTTTATTTGCTGTGATAGAGGTTCATTTTCATATCGTACTATTGGTCGAACATGGGATACTTTTTGTGGAAACTGAAAAAAAGTATGAAGAGTGTTTAAAGATTTTCGAAAAATTTATTGAAAAAATAGTACAAGAAGGAAGTTTGATATTCTATCAATTTGAAAATGAACTGATGTGATTTAGAAAATCTATACCTTTATAGAATTTTCACTAATAGAGGAGTAATATTCCGTGCTATTCATTGTATTGGTTCGCAGCTGGTTTTGTTCCAAAGGTGTCATATCCGATTGACTTCCGTATGCTGGGTTCTGTGTTGCCATTTCATTTCGAATATTTCTAACTCTGAAGAATAATAGATTATTTCATAGATTTTTACATGTATATTTCTGGCTCATTTCTTGGAAAAAAAACATTATGTGACTTGCGAAAATATAGTGCTTTTCATGTAACTGATATTGAAAGTCAACATAGGACAAATATTGAGTTAGCGAAAACACTTTTATAGCATTTTATAGTTGAGGTCAAAAAAAGATGATTGAGTTTCTAATTGACAATATCTTTGTGGTTTATGAAGACCAGGTCATACAACAATCTTTCAGAATTCCCATGGGTACCAATGGCGCCCGGATATTAGCAGATTTGTTTTTGTATTCATATGAAGCAGAAATTGTCTAAAATCCTATACGAGAAAAGAAGAAAAAATTTGTTGTGGACTTCAGCTACATTAAAATAAATCGACGACGTCTTATTTTGAAAAAGACGGTAATGGTAATTCTTACAACCAAGAATTAAGATCAATGTGATGATTTTAACTTTTCCATTGTCAATTTCTTTTACTTATGAGCAATATACATGTACCTTTATAACCGGCATGCGGGATTTATATATTGCAGTTGATTAGATATGCAGGAGAATGAGCTACATATGTTCAATGTCTGAAATGAGGAAAATTATTGACAAACAAGTTGATGGATCAAGATTATCAATAGTCTCATTTAATTCTATGGTCGGTGCAATGACCTTGTCGGCAAGTACAATTTATCATTGAGTCAAATGCTGACTGATGTTTTTCATACTTATTGTTATGCCTTTATTTACACACTAATATTTCCGTTACTTTTTGATCCATCGTGACAAGGAGCGCATGACGGGTGTGACCTGTGGACAGGGATCTCACTCCTTCATGGCACCTGCTCCTATTGCTGATGTTTTAGAGGTCTGTGTTTGCTCTGCTCTATTTTGTATTGTTTTATAGACTTTTGAAGTTGAATACTGTTCGTTACCTCCATTTATTTAGCTAACACTCTGCAATCGCTACATTGTAGCAGGCAACAATAAGAAATGTTAAATTCACGCAAAGCTCTGCAATTTGTTAAGATCAACGATCTTTATACCATAACATTAAAAAATGGTTTTCTTACATAAAAGAGTCGATTTAAATTGTGTAGAGAATAGAAATTCAAAATTCTTTTAAAAATACGTTCAAAGTTTGAACCACATAAATGTGTATTCCTGTATCATTGGAGTCAATGATCTCAGAAACTGTGAACGTGGATATTTTTCTCTTATTATAGATTGCTACTGCAATAGAAGTTTTAAGGTTTAAATAAAATAATGTTTCCATTAGACTTCAAAAATGCAGATAGCAGGACAGATTGACAGATATATATATATATATATATATATATATATATATATATATATATATATATAAAGCACTAAAAATGACCAACGACACGAACAATAAAAATTGTCAAATTTTCAACGCCCTGTCCCTTCCTCAGGACAAAGAAAAAAGTTAAAAAGTCATAAGAACAAAGGAAAAAGTTAAACAAAAAGAACTAGCACTACTACTAAACTACTAAACACTAGATATTTACATACTTAATTACATGATGAATTGGAAATTTTTAAGAACACTAATAAAGAAAGAAATCCGGACCGCTATGAAATGCGTCCGGTCTATCGGGTATACTCGGGTGAAGTGCGATTTACATAATTGAACGAATTAATTATGCTAAATAATTACGACAATCAGTAAATCGTACATTGTTTTATTCTCTCAAAATGGCGTAACTTTATTTAATAAAGAGTAATCGAAGAAAGATAATATAGCAGGTATATTTAAACATATGAATTATGATCAATTATAAATTTTGAAATATTTAAGGACTTATTATCGGGAAAAAATAATTGACAAAGGTGTAAGCAATACATAGTTGTGAGAGTTGTTCGAGAGTTGGTGACGCAAATTAACTGTAGAGTTTACACTAAATTGAGAGAATAATCTTGTTTAGTATCACCAGGAATTGGGTCTAGTTTTGTTCATTCTGGTGAAGTCATTCAGTTTGTTAATACCATTAGGGCGGAATGACTTCAATCTGTGCATCCAGAACTTTTCTTTGCTTTTTCTCTGAGCATCTGTCCATCTTGGGTTTTGGTCAATCACCACTACTGTCATGTCCTCCCATTTGTGACCCTCAAGGTTGAAATGTTCCCCAACGGGTTCAACATTCCACCCACTTCAACTCTATATCGTCTATGAAACGCAACCAGCTATGGGACCTAAATGGTGCTTGACCATTAGGACCAAAAAACTCAATGAACCCGTTGGGGAACATTTCAACCTTGAGGGTCACAAATGGGAGGACACCTTTGTCAATTTTTTTTCCCGGTAATAAGTCCTTAAATATTTCAAAATTTATAATTGATCATAATTCATATGTTTAAATATCCCTGCTATATTATCTTTCTTCGATTACTCTTTATTAAGTAAAGTTACGCCATTTTGAGAGAATAAAACAATGTACGATTTACTGATTGTCGTAATTAATTAGCATAATTAATTCGTTCAATTATGTAAATCGCACTTCACCCGAGTATACCCGATAGACCGGACACATATCAAAGCGGTCCGGATTTCTTTCTTTATTAGTGTTCTTAAAAATTTCCAATTCATCATGTAATTAAGTATGTAAATATCTAGTGTTTAGTAGTTTAGTAGTAGTGCTAGTTCTTTTTGTTTAACTTTTTCCTTTGTTCTTATGACTTTTTAACTTTTTTCTTTGTCCTGAGGAAAAACAGGGCCCTTTTCAGTCGAAAATTTGACAATTTTTATTGTTCGTGTCTTTGGTCATTTTTAGTCTTTATATAAATTTCCATCTGTGACCTTGTATCTACTTGGTAGATAATATATACAGTGTTGTTGGTTTTTTAGTGCTTTATATATATATATATATATATATATATATATATATATATATATATATATATATATATATATATATATATATATATATATATATCTACTTATCTACTTACTACTTCTATCTTACTTATCTACTTACTACTTACTTTTCAGGATTTTTTGAATTTCTTATCTTCTTGAACAAAAAGATGGAAAAGCCAATCACAACCAAAGTAAATAGTACTCCGCCAAATGTAGCCCCAACAACTGCACCAAGAGTGACACCTGTATTTGCAATGAAAGTTTGTGCAATTATTTTTGCTAGACATCACTCAGCGTCGAATGACACGTATACAAGTGTACGAAACAAAGAGCGAAAGGGTTTCATAGTGGAATATGCGAAGTTAAAAATTATATTTAGATTACAATTGTAAATGCTTAAGTCTAGATCACACTGTCACGGTAATAGACACGGACTGCAACGGTTCACCCCGATTTTATAAACCTTATGAAATAATAATGCTAATACGATTTTTTGGCGCGAAAAAACAAACTAAACGGTTGTTTCAAGATTATTAAACGGTTCAACAAGGTTTTGACACGGCCTCATTAGGGACAATGGCATTCACGCCACGGACACTTTTACGGACAACCACGGTATCCCGTATCAACACCTGATAATGAGACGGTCTCACTAGTGATTGCTAAGCTACTGTTACAGCCAATCAAGTTAATGCTACAACACCCCACGTCTCTTGTACGAGAATGCCACGAATGATGAAATTTGTTTGAAGACGTAAAGCGTTTAGGCAAGTAAAAGACCCCGAAACATCACGAAAGTCTATACGGTGGTCACACGGTTATGGTAGGCATACAGTACGGGGTAACTACGATATACATGTACAAGAAATGAAGTGGCATCGCGGTTTTTCCATGACTGTTTTGAACAGTTCAAAGCAGTTGTAGCAATTTACATATCGTTTAGGAGTAATCTAAGTTAACAGGGCTCACCACGGTAATGATAACGGACTGACTGCGGATGTCGAAAACTTTTTACAGATCCCTAAATCGTAGCTTACCGTGATCTAAAATCGTGACAGTGTGACTGGGGCTTTACATATTTCTTTCGTAAATCAATGTTAAACATCCATCAAGGAATCTAAAGTGTGTACAGGATTACCCCTTTTCATCAAATTGTTACAATTAACGTAGCTTATTTAATTTGCCTAGAGAGAGAATATCCCTTTTCAGTGAAATCAGATGCAAACAACCACCTTATGGGGTCGTGCATTTGCAAAGATCCCTAAGTAATACAATATTAGATTGAATTTCCTTTGCTCATCTGATATTCATTAACTTACCACTTTCTTTAGAACAAGTGCTTTCTACAATGACGTTAGTGTCTGGACACACTGTAGTGTATTCTTTTCTTGTGTTGGTCGCTGGACTCTCTGTTGTCACTGAATTAATATTTTCCACCGTAGTTGATAGACATTGTGTATTTTCAGGATCTACTACTTATGAGATATACATTTTGTTTCATTAAAACAATTTAAATATTAATGATATCAAAAACATCTATCAATTAATAATTCCTTGTTTTTTCCCCTAAAAATGTTCATTTGTAGACTTATGTATAAAAAATGGTGGATATGGCATGAATTTTATTTCCTTGAGAGTTTACATTCAACTCTCTTCCCTAAATTTGTCATGATTGTCATTGTTAAGTGAATCAAGTTTTAAATCTAACATGCATGGTGTTTCATTTAATTTTATTTGTCTACCTTGCATAACTTTCACCTGTGAGTCTGAAAATTGTTTGTTTAAATGGTGGAAGGAAGTTAAAAACAAGAACAATTGATAGAATGAGTGAGTACGTCAATTTAAACAATAGAAATTATCTGCAAGATATTCTTTTCAGCTATATTTATTTACTGATAAGCATTATACAATAGTCATTAATAATAACGTGAATTCATGCTTTTCGGTATATACAGTGTAAAGATCGAACTAGACCCATGCATGGTCTTTTATGTGAGCGTTTTTTTTTTCTTATAATAGAGTACAAACATGATTTTATTCCAATGGAACAAAAATACATACATGTACGAGCGTACTTGACTTTTCCTGTAAACTTTTTTCATCTGATCAGAAGAAAACTAATCCTTTTGAATGTATTTAATATTAGTGTTGGATCTTGAATTACATGTCAATAATTTTCAAAAGTATATACAGTGTAAAATTGAATAAGAATGACTTTTTTAAGGAGTACATAGATGTAAATGTGCATATGAAATAACAACTATATATTTCGTACACGAGTTACAAATATTTAAACTATACAAGAGACTGCGTTTAACAACAACATTAAATGTACTTATATTTTCAGTATTTTTTTTATTTTAACCGTTTTCCTTAATATTTAGATCTCAAATCCGTCGAATGGTATTTGGAATGGTGCCCCGTTGCAATGATCGTATTCCCCTTGGCAGGCTAAAAATCATTTTTCTAGTTTTCGAAAAAGAGTAGGACCATTTTGGCCGTCAGAGAAACCCTAACACTTTCAAAACCATTCTGGCAATATTTAGATTTAAATCGCCGAAATATGACTGAATAATTGCTGACTCGGCGTAAAACAATCATATCTCTAAGCCGCCACCTTAAGTACACACAATTTACCATATTAAACCAAAACTAATTTCCTTACCTAAAATGTTGCTAGTAAGATTGCATACGAACGCATGGTTCTTGCATGGACAATATTTGGCTTGAATCACCTTGTGGTCTTCAAGGAATGGAATCATTGACATATACACTGTGATTGATACATTTGTCACTCCTGGATCCTGAACGCCACATTCCGATTCCAGTTCGTAGCATGATGCACCCCGACATGTAGTTGCTTATAAAACATTTCGTTACTATTGATTAATTCATTTCTTCACCATTAATTAACCTTAGAAAAACAATAGAATCAATTATTTTATATATGTAAAAATTTTCTTACTGATGTCCCATGGACAGCTATATAGTCCTTTGTACTGGGTTATAATTTTCCCCAAACACTCAATTCTATTGGAAGAAAAATTACTTTTTTATTCATTTTAATTTAGAAACTAAAAAATCTGGATAATGTCTTGTCCAGAGTTAAGTGTCACACCGCTTTCAATATATATTTTTACAGTGTAAATCTCACGAGGAAATTCAATGCAATTTTAAACTGAAAATACTAATATTTCATATTAAATTTCCGTGTCCACCTGTCTTTTTGTCAAACAATGTCATATGCCTTGAAGTAAAAGTTAAGCAGTTGAAACTTTAAAGCTTAACGTTCCTGAGATTGAAAACATGGTAAATAAATATTTATACATATTTAACATCTTTCATAATAATTTACTTTCCTTTTTCGCTCTCTATCTTAATAGAGGGTACTATATACTACATCTTAGCTCACCTAAGCCGAAACCTATACGAAAATATACGAAATGCCTCTATATACCTTCTCCCCAAGAACAACTAGACCATTATAAGATATATTAATACAAAAGATCCTTAGGTACAGTGAAATATAATTTTCTCAAAACATGACTCTTCCCCCGGAGATAGGGCAAGGCCTTAACAGGGGAATCAAAATTTAAAATGATGTAAGAAAAGTATTTTAAATTTTCTTTTCCAAGAACAACAGATAAATCATATCATTAAATCTACATCCTTGTTTAAGACAAATTACAATTTGTTCCAGTTATGATCCCTCAATGTAGGGCAGGGCAACAATATAGGGGGTTAAAGATGAAATTAACAATGAACAAGACATTTCTTAGCTTTTTTGAAGAAGAACATGACATAGTAAAACATCTTATCATAAAAGAATTCTCCGTTAATGTAATTCAAAATTGTTCTAATCCAATCTCTGTGGTAGGGTGGGGCAACAAAAGGCAATCAAAATTTCAAAAAGAATCTTTATATTTTACTAAAAAATCTTATAAAACTATCTGCGTTCAAGAGACAGCAAATCCATGGTGAGTAATATTAAAAATCGAGCATCCCCGAGTAGCGTAGGTATGAATAAATATTTTTTTTTACCCCGAAGGGCAGAGTGGAATTATAATGTGGGCTTACAATTAACTTAGGCCTAAATATGGAGAAATCTTGTTTTTAAAGAACAGTTAAAGCTTTGGTTAAATTGGTCATGTTGATTTTGAGACATCCTCGGGAATTGTAGATTTTAATTTGTTAAAATCTTGACCCCCTTGGGTAGGTTGGAGTTACAAGGGGAAACTTAAGTTTTACATATAGGAATACGAATATTTACATGCATAGGGAAATTTCTTCTTTATGGGAACAGCAAAACCATGATAAGTAATATTAATAAGAGCACCCCTAGGCAGTATATATTCAAACTTATTCACATCTTGATTCTGGGTTAGGGTTAGGCTAAATGAGCTGTCGAGTTTAACATAGTTTAACATAGATTTTTTCAACTCTCAATGGTTTTTGCTTTTACCAATCCAATGTGCTCATGTGAGCAATATGGACCATGGGTTAAAACATGGGATTGAAATATCTCTATTTTTGTAGCACTTATTTTTCTATGATCACATTATGAAAAAGTTAGTTTTTGTTTCATTGTTTAAAAACAGAATTTCACTGTTTAAAGTTATACACATTTATAATTTAAGAACTAGTTCTGCAAAGGCAAAAAAAAACAACAACCCTTTTTTGGTAAATTAGCCACATCATGAACATGATATTACCCTAGCGACTATTGATTTTTTGTGTTCTCATTTTACTTTAGCTATGTTCTGAATCTTCCATGCAAAACTGTATAGTAAATACCTTTATATGACTCCACGTATTAATTTTAACTTTAAAATAACACAATGAAGGAAAATTATGCACAGTAAATTAATATAAAGTATACATGTATTATAATGTGATAAACATGCTTTGGAAGTTGACTAAACCCTTTAATTATAGTGTGTATTTGTTTTTTAGTTCTTCTTTTATTTGCTGTTGCAAGATATTACCTTTGATAGATATCGCTGTGATATATTATTTTAAAACATTTCGTTTAAAGTGAATGTGTATGTGCTATTAAGATTTATACAATATCTTCATTAGCTACATGTACCTCAATTATATAGTAAATGAGGTTTAATTTGTAAAGTTTAATATGCTTTCGAATTGAAATTATTTTCATGAATATGTTTGAAATATCGTTCATAACTCCTACATTCATTTGATACATGCATAATAAATTTATAAAAAGAAATCAGTTTAGTTCTACATTGTATAAATATATCTCTTGTCAGCTGTTGTTTTAATATGTTTTTATATGTCTCGACTTTTCTTTTATTTTATTGCATAGAAAAAAGGTATTATTGTATAATGTTCAGTGTTTTCATTTGGAAATGTGACTACTGAGTATTTTCAAAAAAATCTATACAAATTTTAACTTTAAACAAAGACATAACATGTACAGGAAGTATAAATTCTAAAATCGAGGAAATTCAGAAGAACCACATATACCATGAGAAAAAAGATACTTAAACACAAAAAATACCATTAATTTGTAATCATATTAAATACAACGTATCAAGAAAATGGATCTTTAAAATATCCCACTGAAATATCGTACGAATGAAGCTTTACATGTGTCTATAATCTATTTACAGAAATTACGCAATAAATTATTCAACATATTACATTCTAAATAAAAAATCTAATATTAAACATTAATTCAATATATCAATGAGTAAACATACATACTCATTTAACTGGTTACTCAACACGCATTTCACATTCTCTGAGGAAACAGTGAATAGAACCACCACGTATGATACAAGGATGGGACGCCCTACAAAAGAGACCTTTGTTTATTTTCTAAACTTTATTTAATCTACTGATAGTCTCCATCGTAAAGTTTCTTCACAAATTTAATTGAATTTCTGTGAAAATCACACTGGGCAGATGAAAATTTACTTTATACTTACGTCTTGTGACCATCATTTTAATTCTCCTCCTTTATTTACATTCTAAATTCCACACGCTTTGGGATTTAAATATCACGAACTGTTCTGGCTGAGTAGCTGTGGTTTATGGGGTTATTTTATGACTTAGGGTGGTGTCATTTAATCCGAAGGGTTCAATTTCAGCTGTTCTATTCCAGGTGTATGTTTAGAGGTAATTTCGACACGCAATTTATACAGAAATTATTTTAGAAATTAAAGTCATGAACTTTCATTCAACCTAAGAAATATATAATAACACTTTTTCTTTTTGATGACAGAGTTTTAAAATAGATACATTAGATTAAGAAAATCCAAATGAGACAATAAAGCGCAAATAATCAGACTTACGCATGTATATCCACAATGCATAAACGTTCTGGAAGCTTTTGGTACATGTAGTATGAATACCCGACCTATTGTTAACTTTTAATGTTTACATTTTCCTTTATCACAAAAAAAAATCTATACATATAAACAATATTAGGCTAATTATATTTCTGGTTGACAATATCTTACGAAAAAAAATCTTCAACTGTACAGCATTGAGACTAAAAAGTTAACATTTGCACTCACATTGCATATATGTATTGTAGGACTATGCTAACATATATTGGTAAACTATATTGTTCTTTAAAAAGATGCAAACATTTGACATCTGTTGAAAAAGCCTGAAAAGGAAGAAACATTTGAAACAACAGCTTACCTCTCAAATTACTGTTTTTTTTTACCTTTGATCACATAAATCCACGCATTGTGAGATTTAAAATCCTGTCAAAACTTGAATTATAGCTATTTTAAGTTTTGTTTATATCTCTAAATTAAAGAGATTCAAATGAATACACACAAAAAATAAAAACACAGATAGAAAAATATATCTTTTAATATATACAATAAAGGCCCACTAACAATTGATTGATTGATTGATTGTATATTGTTTAACGTCCCTCTTGAGAATTTTTCACTCATATGGAGACGTCACCGATGCCGGTGAAGGGCTTCAAATTTAGACCTAAACTCGGCACTCAGGGCCATTGAGCAGTGAGGGTTCTTTATCGTGCCAACGCCTACCGTGACACGGGACCTACGTTTTTAAGGTCATATCCGAAAGACCCGTGACTTTCACTTCTAGTGCCGAGCGCTTGGCGAAGGAACAGTCACTACCTTTGTTTACGTCTTAGGTATGACGCGGCGCCGCGATCGAGAATCGAACCCGGGCCTCCCGATCACGAAGCGAACGCTCTACCACTAGGCTACCGTGACCGGTACTAACAATTGAAATGTAATAACAAACGGTCGAGCTGACATCACTTTTTACCTCATCGATTTTCCTTAATTTCTCATATTTAGTTACAGGTTAATCTCGTTGTCGTCAGCATATAGTGTTTTTATGTCCCATCTTATTTGATATAATCAAAAGCATTTTCGAGGACACTCAGATTCTGAACCGAGCCAGCTGCTGACAAATAGGGTGATGTTACAGGGATTTCAACAATCTTGTTTTAAGTCATCATTTCGTATGATGGTCATTATAATTATGACATGGTTAGCAATTACACCTATCACTGCTTCTTTTTTTTGCTGACTAGTTTCACATTAATTATGAATCGTTTTTATACTGTTTTTGACTATGGAAGTTCCGTATCTTTGATCATTGCGAAGGACTCACTGCAGGTGTGATTTGTCAGTAGGGTATGTTTACATGTACTTCCCCAGGCTCTGGTTTCCATGGAGGCAACAAACAGAATTCTAGGAAAATAAAGTCCATAGAACAATTAAATAGGAGCAGAGCAAATACGGACCTCAAAAACATCACAGCTAGGTGTGATCAGGTGCCATTGAGGAGTGGTCGGTCACACCTAGCCGTGTGCTCCTTGTCATGATCGGGAAATGACGGAAAATCCGTCGTCAATTCTGTGTATAAATAATAGACAAACAATAAGTATGAGAAACGTCAGTCAGCATTTGACTCAATGATAAATTGAATTTGCTGACAAGGTCATTATATCGACCATAAAACCTACGAAATGATTACTTTAAACGAGACTGCTGAAAATCTTGTTTCATCAACTTCTTTGTCGATAATTTTCTAGGTTTTAGAAATTGTTCATAGGTAAAACATGTTCTTGCGCATCGAATCAACTAATATATCTCTAGAATTTCCAGCGGTCTATGCTTTATGTCATCTTTACAGATGTGTATTGTATATTTTTTAAAAAAAAGGTCATCACGTTTTAATATGTTTACATTTTTCATTACTAAATTACATCACCGTATTGCATGAAAATAATTAAAAACAAATATGAATTTATAGTCCTCTTTTTCTCTAAAATTTATATTACTATGATCTGAGCACACAAAATGATATACCCGCTTCCCCACAAATAATGGCAACCTGGATGCGTGGTTGTTCCTTTTATTAAGTATAACGAATGAGGAATGAGTCCAGGTATAGCTGTGCAAACCTGTTAATGCTCGTATATGTTCAATTAAACCATAAAAAGTATTTCGCAGTGGCTCTTTTTATTAGCTGTAAAGGAGAAATTGTGCATAAGCAAAGATTATCCCCATAATCATAATTATGTTTAATTAAGATCGACAAAGGCCGAGCAGAGCAAACACGGATTTCTAAAACATCAGAGGTGGGATCGAAGGCCATGAAGAACTGACCGTACCCAGGTCAAAACCGCCAGGTGCTCCTTGTTATGATCGGCAAACAATATGAATATCCCTCGACAATTTAGGGTGTAATTAATGGAGTAACAATTAGTTAGAAAATGGCAGTCAGCATTTGATGTAAAGATTCTATTTGCTGACAAGGTCATTGTATCAGCCATAGACCTAAAAAAATGATGATTTTAATGAAAATGTTTGCATTATAGCAACAAACATTTCCAGAGGGTGTATAATAAATGAATATTATTACAAATCCCATATTTTTTGAACGATCATGTGACTATAAGGTATATAATATATTTGTCTTAACTACGAGAGTATGCCTTGTTAATGTGTATCTAATGACGCCTTATCATCATTTTCGTCCCTGTCACAGATTTCCCGGACATGACTGCAGGCGCCCAGGGAGCTTGCCAGGCTTTGGTGGACCAAGGACCATTGAGGCAGGCGTTATAGCAGTCGTTCATCCACCACCCACATCTACAATGTTGGGTACAGACACCCTTGATCGACCTATCGTTATCTGTGCCGGGGGTAGAGAAAAACATCCCTGAAAGATCGGCACCATTGGTTCCGGTTTTAAAAATACTGTCACCTATAAAAGGATAATATTTGAATTAAGAACATTAAGAATAGATTACACTTATCGATTGCATGATGTTGAATGTATGTAAAAATACCTAAATTTTTTTTTTATATAAAGTTAATGAAATTTCTAAAGTTTTTACTACAGCATATCACAGTTCCAAAGATCTTACTATGGTAAATCAAAGTTTCAAAGTAATCAAAATAATTTAACTCTTTAAAGTAATATTTTTTTCTTCTCCTTTTTTTGTTTTAGGGGGTTGATATGGGATATTTTGGGTTGGTTTAATTTTAATTTAAATAATACAAATTAGTTACTTCAAGTGCAATATTTTTATTCATAAACTTAACGAAATTGATATAGTTTTTCAAGTTTATGGGCAGATATCTTGGTTTTTATCGAGGAAAATTTTATCTCATAGTATATAATTTTTCCTTTCTTCATGAAAAAAAAAATTATTAAAACATTTAATTCAAAAATATATTGCTTATTTATCAAAGCGAGAAACATTAAATTTCATTTTCAGTTTTTTTAAACACGTTTTTTTCGAAACCTTTATTCATTTTGACCATGCAATTTTATGAAATGTCAAAATTGGAATCAAAAACATAATTTTATTAATTGCTAGTCAAGTTAAGGTTTTTACTATTAGTAAATCAAAGTTCCAAGTTTCTATAATAAATTCTTGTCAGGGCAAAACCACACGTCTAGTTCCCATATGGTATAGCAGTAGGCCCGTTTTAGTAATGTTTATATGGAAGCATCCCAGCATGTATGTGTAGATGTGAGTGTCTTCCAGTCATGATCCCCGTAACTAGATTGTGATCGACAAAAATGGGCGATAAACGTTTTAAAGGAATTTCTTCATAAAAGCAGTAAGAGAAGAATAGCAAAACAAAACAGTAATATTTGCAAACTGACACAAAAAGCAAAAAAAAAACTTTGATCAAAACTGTTGGCCACTAAATCTTTATTGGGTATGTCATATAATGTTGCTAGCAACAATATATACATTTGCAACTTTCCAACCAGCGATAATGTGCACCGATGGACGATAATATGTGGAGTGAGGGAGGTTGTAGTGGGTGAACCTAAATACTGCTTAATTGTCCTAAGCGCCGAGTTTACTTGACACGTACCCAATGTTCCACTTGGTTTTCCTGCTAGAAATAGTTTGTATTTTTCTGTTTCATTTGAGACAGAAAATCGATCGTACAGCTCAAATAGTGTCCTCCCGTCCGTAAGACTGATAGAAACATAAAGACGTGAGTTCTTTCTCTTTGTTAGCTGATGGATCACATCATTTCCTGTTTTGAAAAAGTCAAAACTATATTAAGTCATATTATCCCGGGTAAATATACTCGTGAGAAAAAAAAATTCATTGTATTTTGAGGCATTTTTAAATCAACTTATAATTGTAAATTAAATTTTTGAAATGTTTTAGAAAAGAAAAGAAAAACATCCGAGAACGATCATGTCCCTCAACAGATTAATTTTTCTCTTTTGACCTTTCTTTCTTAAGATCCCTTCCTGCTATGCATAAATTGGTTTTAATTATAAATACAGTTAAACACAGTAAAAATATAACAGGAATAAATACTGTCGATCCGAAAACATAATATCCAGTTTTAGCTTAAATATTCTATAGCTAAATTTTTTCTGATCATATTTTCTCCCAGAGACCGTCTAACTGTGCAGCTGTCCATAAAGTTGTTACATACATATTATACTAAAGTTGGTGGATCAAAGATCTATTCTGTAACTTACCGATGCAGCTATAGAGGAATGGATCATAGCTCTATCATTAACTTACTAATCAAGTTCTCCTCTTCGTTTATAATTATATGGAAGTGAATCAAAGATCAAGATTTTAACTCCCCAATTTAGTTATCCTGCTCCGGTTTTAGGGGAGTTGATCAAAGATCCAACTGTTAATTTAAACTTACCGATCCTGAAGTCCTGCTCCGTATAAAGGGGAGTGGATAAAGTATTTTAACTTACCGATCCAGTAATCCTGCTCCGGTTATAGGGGAGTGGATCAAAGATCCAACTGTTAATTTTAACGTACCGATCCTGAAGTCCTGCTCCAAATAATGGGGAGTAGATCAAGTATTTTAACTTACCGATCCAGTTATCCTTCTCCGGTTATAAGAGAGTGGATTAAAGATCCAACTGTTGATTTATACTTACCAATCCAGTAGTCCTGCTCCGGGTATAAGGGAGTGGATCAAGTATTTTAACTTACCGATCCAGTAGTCCTGCTCCGGATCACCAAATCCATTTTTATATTCCGGCCATTTCTGGTCAAAGCTCTGGAATCCATTTATTCGTTTTTGGATTGCCTTACAATATTAAGCATGGACATTTTTAATATCATTTTTGTTTCGAATGTCATTTACCATATAATGTATTTTATGCAGGGTTCTTCTACATACATGGTATATGATATAGGTAAGCAAACGATCAACTTCGAAATATACATCTGGTGTTTTGTAATCAATTTAGGTAATAAAAGAACCAGCCTCCCGCATTTGAACAGGTTATGCTAAATTATGTATAAATGTAAATAATCATTAATTACCATTGAATGATGTTTTATTTGGCTTTATTATGAACAATAAAAATGTTGTTTATTTGCTCGGGAAGCTCTAGAAATTATCTTAACCAATGAAATGTAGGAATAAAAAAAACATTGCGACTGTAAGCATGTGATGTACACAATATTTCAATAACTCTTTATCCTGCAACTCTCCCCTGAATTGAACGAATAAATGTAACATACGAGGGCTGTTCAATAAATACACTGTAATGTCCTCGGTGCTCGGAAAGAAACAAAAAACGCTTTTCGATGATTTAGTCTAATGATTTTACTTGAATATTCTCTTTTAATTAAAACATATGCCCAAACATTTTTATTGAATTTCTGACTTTTGAGTATGGTCCTTCGTATACTCGAATATGGCAGATCCTATGATTTCCTGGACTTGTTTCTTTACTCTGAAAGGTGTTATTTTCAGGTTTGGAAAATGTAACAAGTCAAAGGATAAAAGATCTGGCGAATATTGTTGGTGTGACAAAACATTGACGTTCTATCCCCCCACAAACTCCTTTACTGTTCAGGGCGTGTGGGTTTGGACGCCGTTATGAAGAAATTAAATGTGGTAGATTCCTGGTCCAACCTCTCATAAACCATTCGATTTTGTGCAAAAAGTTTGCTTTCAGACTCCTTCACAAAAATAAACCCTTCTCAAATAAGAATTTGAACAAGACCACTAATATATAAGAAAATGACATATAAAGCTGCCTTTGTGATCTTGCAATTCTATGCTCTTCTCATACCTTTGCTGTTTTTGCGAGTGCATCTAATTATTGATTTGATTTGAGAGTTTAAAGCAACTTTCATTATCGGTTTGAACTTTAGCCAAAGATTAAAAACTACAATTTCTGATTTTTAAAAATAATATAGATAGTCTTACATGCTGTCGTTTTAAATAAATTTTCAAAGCATAGGGTGACCATCGAGTACCAAGCATTTTTTTCTGTCAAATAATTCTTTAAAACAATGTGAACTACCCCAAAAATGATTCCTATCAAATTTGCTCAGTGTTTTAAAGTCAATCAAACATCATTAGTGATAATTTGTTGAATGTTAGCAAACAGTACATTATAAGTCCTTGTCGCCAAGGATGGTACCCATTTTTGATGCCTATTATATCATTTTTGTTCATTGAAATCCACCTGCTTTATTGTATATTAAACAAACATTGGTTGCTGTAAATTTCACATATTTCAGTGAATATTTCTTTTGGATTCTTAACAAGTTTTACAGCAGAATTCATTTTTAATACAGTATCTCGAATAGCCCTTGTTCTCCAGAAACTCCCAATGAAACTACATGTATATGATGAAAAGTGGTAACATAAATTGTTATTAATTCATTAAAGATTTAATCATTAGAGAAAGTCAGATTTAATGTCGTGATTTCTATGTTCTATGTCATAGAGTTAAGGACACTATTTACTGAACAGCCCTCTTAATAAACCAAAGCTTTATTTGGTCAATGCACCAATAAAGCCTCAAGTGTATATTCCGAATGGGATGTTCTAAAAGCATTTTGACGTCAGGTTTATTGCAATGTTTACGCTATCATATCTTTTGGTATCTTTTTCAGGAAAAACAAAAACGCACACGCATGAACACAAAATATAAATATTATATAAGAAGATTATTTTCGTAATTTTCATGGGCTGAAAGAACGACACATGATATTCCTCCTTTTGTGATTTCGACGCAAAAGCGCGTCCGCGGAAAATGAGATCGCACGACATACCATTCGGTTGCACCAAAGTTATTCAGAACGTGACGTTATTATAAGAAGCGTCTTTTAATCATTATTACCGTCTTCCTTGGATGTATAGTTGAAGTTTTTTACAGTCTTCGGACTATGCACTTCCTCTCTTTTGTGATTGGTAGAAATTGCATGATGGGAAAATTTTCAATTATTTCATTGGTTAAAATGCTGTTCAAGGCAAGGGAAATAACTTTCTGATGATCGATTTTTCGTACGACTTAACAATTTTGCTAGATTTCCAATCTTAAAAAAATGACAAAACGAACAACAAAATCAGCTGTAATTATTTCTTAGTAACATGATATTTTTTATAGCAATAAATAAAAAGGTCTCTTTAATTTCATCATAAATAAAATGTGATAGTTATTGCTTGCAGGCTTTACAATTTGTTATTATTCTTTTCCCCTTTCTTGTTTGAAGACAATCTCTCACCAGAGGGCGTTTTTACGCTCCGCTCCAACACCTCTGTTATCGTCTAAATTACAAGAATCTTGTAAAACGAAAATAAATAATAGATTCACACCAAAATGGTATTTATTTAAAATGAAACTAGAAATATCAACCTTTAGCACTTCTTTTGTTCTTTTAAAATCTGGATATATATTAAAATAGCTTCAATATATACGGCACTATTTTGTTTAGAATTTTTTACACAAATTTTAATTTTGAAATCAAGGAGACAAAGTTAGAAAATATTTACTACCAGAGAGCTTAAAACACATAACATCATTGGCAAAACATACAAAACAATCAATGTTTATACAATTTTTGTTGACATTTAATTATTTGACAATCTGCACTACTTTTTAGACGACAACAGAGGTGTAAGCGGAGCGCTCCCTCTGGTGAGAGATTGGTTTGAAGAGTGAATGGGAATCAGCCGAGGTTTGCCGAAAGCTCTCGGCCAGTCAAAGTTTACGGAGATGACCGAGCGACAACCGTGGTAGGGCTAATGCCCGTAAAAAGCTAATTTAGAAATACAAAATCAAGAAATTCAAAAGAATTATACGGTCTGTTAAGTATATAGATCTGTTTACTGTTTAAAATTGTTGCTAAAGACGGTAAGCTTTTTTGAAAAGCTCTACTTGTTTTAAATGACAACCGAGTCTATTTAGCTAGGACTGTGTCCGTGCTCGGTCGCTATGACTTTCTGTGTCTTCGGTCAATATCAATTGCTATGAGTCGTTATAACCACATATCGACCTACACTGAAGTCCATTATTGTATATTTTAAAAAAGCATTGATATATAAGCGATACGCGATATTTGGGTTTAGGTCGAAAACACAACCATGTTTTCTTACCCTTGCCCAAATATCGCTTACATGTATGTTGAAGGCATTAACCATGTATGTTATATATACCGTCCATCCACCATTCATTGTCCCCATGTCACAGTAAGCTCTGATTGGATGGGCGCCGGTGCTATAGGGATAAATATCATACACTCCGGAAGTAGTGTGACCATCTTCTCTCAAGTCCGAACAATCTAACGGGAGAACTAAATCAAAAATAAAAATTAATTATACAATGAATAATATTGTACATTTTTAAAAATATATTGGCTAGCACAGTTAAATATTATATTGTCTCGATTAGAGTCATCATTTCGTAATTTCTATCGTCGATACAGATCTTAGAGGTCAGTGTTTGTTCTGCTCCTATTTTGTAAAATTTTATGGAATTTTGATCTTGAATACTGTTCGTTATCGCCATACGCGATGTTTCATTCATAACTGTCTTCAGGTAAAATGGGTAAAATATGACAGTAGTTTATATGTACAACCATTTGTTTTTCAAGTGTTCCAAACACAAATTATCGAGGAAAAAGTAGCTAATTAATAAGATTTTCTCTTTTCCTTAAAAATAATAATAATAAAAGTAGCCAAATAATAAGTTTTCCACTGTTCCTTACAAAATAATAATCAAAATCACTGAAGGGGTTGCTGATACAGCTGATATGCACAAATAATGAAAATATAATTCAATGCTACAAGTATATGTTCTAATAAATAATTCAGAATCTTCATCAAATGAATTGGCTCCAGTCTACATATATATGATCCATAATGCTTTCTGGCGAAAATAAATTTGATTTATTTGAAAATTTGATTAATATGAAAATAGTTTTCGATGAGATCTAATAAAAAAAAATTAAAAGCAATCAAGAAATTTCACAAGGTGTGTTGTGTATGGATGTGTGAAGATATTTTATTTATTTCATAATTTATTTTGTTGTAAAATATTTGGAAAAAACGATAGAATTGAAAGTTTTTTACGACATGTTTGTAAATTTAGAATCGCGGTCGATCTAGAATTGTCCAGAGAAAATAAATGAATTACGGGTTTAGAGAAAAGATTTTTTAAGATTACCTATAATTAGGCTAGTGTGACCACGACTTAAATGAAAATTCCTTTCGACATTAAGGACTCTTGATTTCAATCCTGAAACCAGCTTTCAACAAAATAACAACCAAATTCTTTAAAATATCAGCTTTATATCCCGCTTTAAGTGATTTATTAATTCTCTCTAGTTTGCTGTTAAAACACTTTAAAATATATTTTTTAAATTATTAATGAATTAATAGTCATTTTATGAAACTTAATGTTGATCAACGTATCAGAGATAAAGAATAAAACTGGAAGCCAAAAAATATAATGAAATTTATAGTGTTTCACTTGAAATCATATAAATTACGTAGGAATAAAGGAAATTAATCCGGAATAGAATCATGCAAAAATACTGGTTAATCCATAAAACCATGAAAAATTCATTTAAAAGAAACTCTTATTTAAAATGCGACTCTTTAATTTTAAATGATTTAAAGTTTTTTTTTTGTTTTTCAAATAAAATTTACATTTAAAATTACAACATAAAGTATACAATTTCTCCTTTATATTAAAATGTTGAATAGACCTTTATGGTAATTACTAACAACTTAACTATATATGTCACATGGGTTGCGTTCAGATTTTCAACTGTAAAATTCTTCTATCTCAATGATAGTATTCAAATAGCACTGCATATAGTTATCATACCCAAAAGAGATTCGTAATAGGAGCGCATAGCTACATTTGTATAGACTGAATAAGAATGATTCAAAATGAAGCCAGGCTGCAGACAACTGAGCTTTCTAAAATCTACTTCAGTAACCCAAGTGGCGCATTAGTTTGAGTGTTTATACTATAGAGGTGCAGAGTAATGAGTTTCTTGCGGGTTCGAATTCCACTGCGGGACATGGAGCCCGGTTTTTCAGAAAAGAGGTGTAAGCCTAGGTGCCGTGCCGCAGTAGGTGCTGAATGGCCCTGCATGAGTAACAAGTATAGGTAAGAATTTGCAGTTCACCACAGCGAAGCAGAAGCCTCTAACTATAAGCTAAAAATTCTCAAATGAAAGACTTACAAACAATCAATAACTTTCACGATGAATTTTGCAAACTTTTTGAATGCCTTGTCCACAAACAAAAGCCTACAATTTGGTCAAATCCTTCGACTTGCACATACATTACCAATTATTATGGAAACACTCATTGTCATCGGGAATTATTCTCTTTGAATAATTAATATAGAGAGGACTCAACATGAGTGTGACTAGTGTTAAAGGAATTATTTCTTCCCCTACGCACCTGCTTTCATTTCCTAATGTTTCCTGAAATAATCATGTTTTCAATTTGTGTTGTTTTCAGTATATATCAGATTGATTATTGGTCGTTGTCAATACGTTTATCATCCGCCTATATTGTATTAAAAGTAAGAAAAAGGAAAAAAAATTCAATGGACATCAGTAAGTATTCTTCGTGATTTGTGGGGAAAAAATAACATTACACGAATACATACAATTATTGAAAAAGTATCTCCATCCATTCTCCATGTTAGACTTTTGTGTGGTGTAAACCTTCCTGTAGACACGGCAAAGTTTCAGGTTATTATTGTATCCAAAGAAGCGGCAGTCCTTCCGACACTTCGCAGAACACATACATAACGATCTAGCTTTGTATTCACCTAAAAGGTCGTTCTTTGTCTCTTCATTATCAAATTCCACTTTTGTGGAATAGCGCCGCGAGACAATGATAGAATGAGTGGTTGCAAGGAAGAAAACCAAGACGTTTGTTATCAGAAGACTTCTCATATTGTCCCGCTTGAAGGAGAATAATAACCGCGCTGGTTTATGAATTTGCTTGGAATATTGTTCAATTTCAAAGTATGAATAGCAGCCTTTATCTCTTACCGAATGAAATGATAAGCTTGTTGTATCCTTTTAAATCTCTGACAATATCGCTGATTGGTTACTTGTTACATGTATATATTATATAAATGTACCTGTATTGTACTATCGTTGACATATCGATTAGTGCAAAAAAAGATAATAAAAAATCTAAATAAGGAATTGAACACAGTGCCATTTATAATATACAATTATTGTACATTTACGATAATCTAAATAAGGCTATAATTAAAATTCGAGGGGGTGAAACTTTTAAAGAAGCGCGTAAGGTGCATAGGGAGTTTTGGTATGCTGGCTGACGTTTTTCATACTAATTATAAGTCCATTTTTTAAATACTGAATTCACGACAGACTTTTCCGTTTTTTTCCCGATCAAGACAGATAGCTCTGTCGGGTGTGACCGGTCAGCAGGGGATGCTCACTCCTCCATGATCCCATCTCTGATAATTTGTACAGGTCCGTGTTTGCTCTGCTCCCTTTTTTGTATTGTTATATAAACTTTTGATCTTAATACTTTTCGTTGTCTCCTTATGTTTCATTGAGTCCAGTCAGACAAAATACATTTTTCTACAGTATCAAAAACGCATAAAGTTTTTTGCTAAGGATTCTATCGCACAGTGACAAGAAGTTTCGTTTGCGTTATTAAGTATTGAATATTGTAGATTTCCTATGGATTTCATTTATTAAAGAAAATTACATTGAAATGTAAATATCGAACAGTGATGGATTTAAAATAAGATCTAAAAACAACGCAAGTCTGTGACCGGGACATAATTATAAAACATAGACACCCGAAAGTTCAAAGACACCCAATACTTATGTTGTGTTATTTAAATTCAAGACACGTTGTGTAGGATGACCCAATCAAAGGTTAAAGGGGTAGAACCAGTTTTATAAATAAAATATCCAGTAAACTTTCTGTAGTCTGTTACTTTTGATACATCATGTACTATGAAAAACATATTTTTGAAAGAATTTCATGCTTTAAAATGGAAAAGGGGAAGGGGGTATTCAATCCCTTCTTCGTCATGTGTACATATATCAGTTGAGTGAAGTATATCATACCATGTTTACTTTTTTTTCAACGCATATATTCAACAAATAAAGCACTGGGTGAAAAAAGTGGTTTCCCATCATGGGAAACTTTATGGAAACCACATGGAAACCTCAAGTTTACATCATGTTTCCCAGTGGTTTCCGTAGCGGATGCTAGGTTATTCCGCCAAGTTTCCGTGACACGGAAACCCCCTACGCTCCGATTCCATAAGGTATCCCGAACCACGGAAACCTCTGTAAACCTGAAGTTTCCCGAACATCCATGTAGTTTCCCGTCATGGGAAACCTGAAGATTCCACTGGTTTCCAGAATCAGGAAACTTGATGGAATCGGAGCGTAGGGGGTTTCCGTGGAATGGAAACTTGGTGGAATCTTCAGGTTTCCTTATACGGGAAACTACATGGAAGATCGGGAAACCTCATGATTCCTTAAGTTTCCTTGACTCAGGAAACCATATGGAATCAGAGCGTAGTGGTTTCCGTGGAATGGAAACTTGATGGAATCTTTAGGTTTCCTTATACGGGAAACTACATGGAAGCTCGGGAAACCTCACGATTCCTAAAGTTTCCTCGACTCAGGAAACCATATGGAATATGAGCGTAGTGGTTTCCGTGGAATGGAAACTTGATGGAATCTTAAGGTTTTCTTTTATGGGAAACTACATGGAAGCTCGTGAAACCTTAGGATTCCTGAAGTTTCCTTGACTCAGGAAACTATATGGAACTTGTGTATCATTTTCTGTGTGGCGGAAACTTGGTGGAATTATCTGGAGTCCCATTTCTGGTGGAAATTACTGGGAAACTTCAAGATTCCCTAACTTTTCTAAAGGAAGCAATGTGAAATAATGTGTATTCTTTTAAAAATCTATCAAAAAAATTTATTACATGTAAAAGAAAAAAAGCATTACCATTTGATATGTTTAATAATTCATTTGATGTACAAAAACTGTAACTGAATTTTTCAATGATATCAAAATATTAAATAAATTCATATATCTTAGATAAACAATGGAACAGTCTTTCACATTCATAAGGGTCATTAAGCACTTCTTTCAACATCAGTTTCCTGGTTTTCTTCACATCACCTATGATCTGCAATATTCATACAAAATTATTATATGATGTCAGAATTATAATGCTTGAATATAACTTAGAAATCTGAAAGATCAGTCTATGTCCTTTAATATACCAATATCAATAATTACTTTCCATGACCATGATACATATGATTTCAGCATTTAATGTATCTCTTTAAAATTTAATTCTTTATGATAAGTGAAAAAAATAACATAATATAAATAATGTTTTCAGCCTGATTATGTCTTTGAGAATATATTACTACATGTATCTCATACTAAGAACCCTGCTTTAAGTTTGATTAGTTTGAGAGAAAACATACCCTTTATAATAACAAAAATATTAGGGAGAGATTTTTTTTTAATTTTGATATTCGACCTAGAAATTGGTTGAAGATCATTGCAGACCCTCCACCCCATTGCACAAAAGCTAGATTACACCAGGGGAGAAATATACTCTGGACTACGATTTTAAATAAAGATATACAGTAGATTTTGATACTGACCTTTGACCTAGAAAATTAGTCCAAGGTCACTCTTCATCCTCTATCCACAGGCTCTCTGTAGTTTAAGTTTGAGAGAGAAATATGCACAGAACAAGTGATATCAGATGGAGTGATGGGTAGACACTGTCTTAGGGCATCCACAGAACAGGACCTAAAAATAATGCAATATATATGTATTACAGTATATATACACATGTACTTGTATGTTAATGATTTATCATATGCTGCATTGGACACATATGATTTTATCATGGTTCAAGTATACATGTATCTTATGAGTAATTTTATACCAGTATTGCATGTACGCTCAGTTTATTTAAGAAATAAATTTCAAGTTTATAAACTTCAATGGGAGAGATACCACAAATGTATATATAAACAAGTAATTTAATTTTTTTTTTTACATATATTGACCAACATTATTTACATCCATTCATCATGTTCATGAACTGGCTGATCAAAATTCAGTCAGTTTTAGATCTATATGATATACCATAAAGGACTTTCACATTTACAAAAGTTATTCCCCTTCGCAGGGTCGATCTGGGGTCAACCGGCTTAAGACGCTGTTTTCCCTCTTTAACTGTATCAACGTTGAGGGACAATATCTTAGAAATAAAATCTGTATGAACATATTCATTATGATTTTCATGTTGCCCCCATACTCTGGCAATACAGATACAGATCGTAATTGTCCAATATTTTTGAAGATTGAAAATATATTAACAAGTAACTTACAAAGGACAAAGAGGGAAAAATGAGCGATACGCCGACAATTGGAGAAAACTCTTAGGAATGTGAAATTCGTCTATTGGTGATGACAATTCCTGTTTTAATGTCACTGAAAAATTAAGAGACATTAAAAATTTAAGCCCTGATTGTCATACACGCATGCTGTTTTTTCATCCATATAACCTTTTAGTATCATAAAATTTACCAAATTTTAATACTTCAAATAATTTCATTGAATATCTATAAAATAAAGGAAACTCTAAAAACTTAGTGACTTGCAGAAATTATTCATTGGAGAGAAAAAAATCTATCATATTTCATATAAATATGTGCATAATGAGCCTTTTTTATGCATTTAGAACATATGGTATGTGCCTCATTTCCCCAAGAAATTTTCAAAGACAATGGACTATCTGTAAGCAGAAATCATTGCTGTTTACTTACATTGGAAAAATTTATGAAAATAATTAATTTCCTATTTTTTTTTATTTTAGATAATGCTAAAAATAATTTAATCTATTAAAAATAATCTAACTGACTGTAAAATAACATTTTTCATAATCTTAATCTATGGGCAGATCACTCTAACTTCATAAAACTACCTGATATTAAAGTAGAACTCTTTAATGTGCAGTTTTTAGAGCTTCCTTTAAGTAATCAAAATACTGACCAGCAAGAAATCAGTTAATAAGCATTTCCTTTTTTCATTCAAATTTTTGGAGAGATCTCAGAGTTTTTTCCTGTTCAATTCAGGTTCAAGACAACAAAGTTTTATTGAAGTGTATGTATTAGAGAACTGATTGTATGTCAATCATAGCAATACACACATAACATGGAGGGGGCAAATTGTTTCAGCCCTAGCTTTTACATAAAACTTCTTGTAGCTCACAGCTGATATACCACAGTTCAGTATTTAAATAAAATTTAGAATCTTTTTTTTTCCAGGCAATTGTCATATACATACTAATCATGAATGAATTACCACTTACCAAATGACCACATCCTGAATCATCATACATTTTCTATGATTTTATCTCACTGGTTTTCTTTTAACGTCACACACTTTTCTTCTCTCTGAAATGATAAATTATGTCCAGGTACTACTGCATTCTAATTTAAACTAATTATGTAATAGCATTAGCAACAACTGGGATGGAAGAAAAAATAACCAGAAGTCTCTGTCGAGACTGTAGCTCTACTGGTTTGTACTTATCAAAAACTGATGCACAGAATTAACTTGGTATACACACAGCCACTTCGAGGTATCAAGGGTAAAATTCACAGCACAGCGGGACTGCATTTTGACTTCGAGGGATCAAGGGTTTCGAAAGATCAGGAGTTCGAGAAATCAAGAGCAAATCTGCTTAGTTATATAGTGGAAAAAATCGGGACCGGAGACTCACTTCAAGCGATCAAGAACTTCAGAGAAATTGAAGTTCAAGCCATCAAGAGTTACCTGTATATACAGATATAAGAAGCATGTTATTATTTGCAATTTTGACCTAATGACAGCTAAATCTCTTCAGTAAGACAAT